GAAACGTCGCAGGCCACCCGTGAACCGCTGGAGACTATTGAGGGAGAGTTGCAGATCACACAGCAACAGCTCGAAGTTGACATGGACGAGGTAGAGGCGGATGCGTTGAAACTTAGAGCCTCTCGCACTTGAATTCATCTTGAAGAGCTGAGAATGTCGGTGATCGCACCAGCGACCACATTTACGGTACCGGTTATGAGTACGATGGCATGGCTCACGCAGAGAGGCTACTCATCGATCATGGCTTGTCTTACCTCGTAGTCGCGCGTGGTTCATCCGGGTATGACCATCGCGTCCTTCGGGAAAGGTAGCAGAGGTTCCGAAACCCTTCTACCGACGTTATCGGCATGAGCGGGCGCCGGGAAAGTCCCGCTCGTCCCGAAGATCATATGCGTCACTACACCCTTTCTAGATCAATACCATGCGTATATTCGCCGTGCTCCTCAAAGCCCCTTTCTCGCTTTGACCGGGACCGTATCTGGCGCGTCGTCTGAGACCAGCCGGCAAAAGAGCAGGAGCTCATCCATTATGTCCAGCTCTCGGATGCTCAATGTGAGACTGCGCGACATCGGGTCGAGATCACTGAAAAGCGCCGTGATGCCAGCAAGCCTCGGGTGCAGGACGCTCAGCTCCAGGTCCGTGCTTCCCAGAAGTAACTGGAGGCAGATGGAGAGGAGATCGACTCAGCTCTCACGCAGTTGTGTTTCCAGAAGTTACAAGTAAGCCAATCAAGAAGGTCCCTCACAGCCTGCAGAACGAATCATAGTACAAATAAGAGACCTTCTCTGCTACCTTTTTGAAGGCCTAGAAGATATGCAGATGACGATTCTGAACGAGCCGGAACACACCAACGCCGTTGAGTCTAACACTGACCACATCTCTTCTTTGTGGCTGCGCCTGTGCGTGGTTCACCTGCGTATGGTTGGGTGACAGGTACCAGACGATCTATCTCGATACAGCTGCACACATATGGAGCACGCTATCGAGACTTGCTTGAAGGCTTCGACACTGCTCTTAAAACCTGAAGCTCCGTCAATCTGGACGAAGTCGAGCTGAACTGGACCTGTGAGTACTTCATTAGGCTCTGCTTCCGCCATTGGAGGTTCTTGGATCGTATAGGTTTGAACTTGCACTTCTGTTCTTCTGTTCTTCTGAATCATTAGATACTTAGTCCCAATCATTGCCCAATTGAACATGCATAATGTCTGTCTGAATCACCGAACTCTTTCATCAATTATTGCCCATTTTCTGTTGGTTTATACCATTGAACAATCGCTATATATTCCTGATTCCTGAACATTTTGTTGAATTGATCAACTGCGTTAATTGCGAAGTCCCTCGGAATCATCTTCTTTTTAATTCTATTATATTATACTCAAATGCACCTGAACTACAAATTTGAGCCTACCCCTTCAATCTCGGCGATCTCATCAGAAAGCGAGTCAACGGAAGGGTGAAACGCATTCAATCCTGTCACTGCCTTTTAGTGTATACAAACCAACGACACTTCATTTCTTTGGCAACGCATGAATTTATCCCAATTTCACTTCTTTCCTCCAGCGATGGTGGTATTGCTTTGTACTCACTTTCCCGCTTTGGCGCTGACAAATCATTGGATTTCTTTTCCCCGACATTCCACAACTCTGGAAAGATCTCCAAGTCTTGGAATGCCTATGCAATTCAACGCTACCTCCAAGGCAACCACTTCCGGTCCTTCGGCCCCGACCGCACTTCCTTGATCATGACAAATTCATGAAGACGCCAAGCACTGGGCGCAATTTTGATCCGAATTGTTCAATAAACCAACAAGGGATCAGCCAACGCACCTTTCAATACCCCTCCCAAACACCTCCGTCAACACGCTATTGCCGCTGCCATGTTCTATCCCCGATAGCCAATTATACAATAAATTATAGTGTGAGTTCTAGACCCCTTGGCCAACGAACCTGCTCCGCATATCGCTAATGCCTACGTAGTTGACCAATTTTGATCAGACCCCGTAGGCTTCTCAGCCAGCTTTATCACACAGGTGTTTCGTACGCCCGTTTCGATCGGATCCTCGGTCTCTAAGCGATCGCCGCCTCTCTGTTAATTACGCCGATTGCGCCGTCTTCAAAGCTGCCGCCATTTGTCCCATTGCCTCTGCCGACTGTGGTCACCGAACCGCTTCTGTTGCCCTTGTCGCAGCTGCCTCCCGTTCCCGCGCCCACTGCACTGACTGCACTGTCTTCGCCGCTGCCGCCGATTTTCACTCCGCCGCCTCCGTTCCTTTGTTATTGCCGCCTCTCAGGTACCCCATCAATTTTGATTCCGCGCCTACCGTCATGATATTCTCAAGAACTCTGGTGGCGGTGTTGTTCCATATCCCATTCCGCACCACCAAACTACAGGTATGCTAAACTTGTTACGCTGGACTATTCACTATCCTAACGTTGGTCATCTATAGACAATCCAAAATACCTGGAGAAAGAAGCAAATTGGACAGCAAGGCTCAAGTAATCGCGAGCAGCCCCATCGGATCAAGAAAGTCGACACCGTTTGGGCTCCCAGCACCGAATGCATCGTAACGGCAATTTGATGGAGACTTTGGTCAACCCCACGCTGGGCCACGATCCGACCGGCCCTCAGCAGACTGAGCAGCAAGGCTTAGGCGACCGCGAACAGCCTTATCGAATCAAGAAAGTCGATGCTGTTTGGGCTCCCAAGAGGCGAGAGTGTGTCAGCAATGATTAAGACCGTGGTCAGCACCACGCCGAGTCGGGATGAGACTGAGGATCAGGAGCCGCCCATCGAATCAAGAAGGTCGACGATATTGGGGCTCTCGATGTACGGATCTAACCGATAAAGTTGTTATCGGTTGTCGTCATATTGTCACTGTACCATGCTACCGTGACGTGGATGCTGAGAGTTTCAAATGCCCAGCACCTTGCAAGCACATTCTCCCATGCGGCCACCAGTGCCCAGGCTCATGTAGTGAATGCAACAAACCGGACGGAAGCGTCCAGCATCGCGCGTGTATGACGACCTGCGACCGACCTTTCGGACCGCCATTCACACAGCAGGGCTCGATCAGTCGCGAGCAACTTATCGAATCAAAACGTCGACGCCGCTTGGGCTCCCAACGCCGACTTCCTGAAAGTTGAAAGACCGCAACGGCAACGTGATGGAGACCGTGGTCAACACGACGACAAGCCACAATCCCTTCCACCGGGGATCAGGAGCAGCCGGAGCAAATCAAGAAAGTCAACGCTGATAGCTCCTGACTTCGCGAAGACACAAGACCGCAACCACCACAAGGTTTGGCGGGAGGCTCGTGGTTCTTGTGAGCCGGTGTATCACTGACGGCACAGACTCAACAGATGAGACGTTCTCATCGACCAACTTCATTAGTGCGTTAAGAAGTTCCTTCGAGTTATCACTCACCCTTCAATCAAACCACTCTCAATTAATCCATTCATCGATGCTATGTCATCACTCACCCTTCAATCAAACCACTCTCGATTAATCCATTCATCGGTGCTATGTCATCACTCACACTTCAATCAAACCACTCTCGATTGATCCATGTGGCTCGAGGCTCGAGCTACAACCTCCACATATCCTACTTCTGGGTCATTCTAGGGTGTTGCGAATTGAAGTCCGATTATCTATGGTGGCAGACCGTCAGAGCATGGGCACACTCTCACCATGAATCTCGATCCCCGAAAAGTGTCTCTATGACGAACAGCCGACAGACGGTCCAAAATGTTCCTACCAGCCAAAAGGTCTTTGCTGAATATTCACCGGCCCTGGCCCTTGTCGTCACTGGTTAGTGAGAACCTACTCTCGGTGTCCCAAATTTTACTTACATGTGTCTCTCTACCCTAAATCATGTCTCCACCGATCGAAATTCGACAAGCGCTCAAGCTTTCTTCAAGACGACCTGCAGCATGCCGACAGCCGATCGAATACAGCATATCGTACTTGAGCCCAACTAGAACTGGATCAACAGGAGAATATTCCACAGTCGGAAGCGATAACACGGAAGAAGTCAGTACATGGAGGTAGCAGCCATCCACGACACCGTTGGAGGCAAGGAACAAGGTTCAGCGGTTTCAACGCCAATGACACCACACAAGTCGCACCAACCGATCGGCGATCGAGAGTCACCTCAATCAGGAATATGAGGATTCATGGCCCACACAATACATGGAGTCTGACGATGGGTCCTGTCTTACCTTCTGAACCATGTGTACTATTGGAGCATGGTATTACGTTATACGTAGAGAACATTCAGATCCTTATCATGAACCTTGTGTCAGTTTCTCATGGGAATTGATTCGCATCGCTGCTGTTCACCCACCAATTGTGGCTAAAGTCCGTTGATGTACCAATGGTTAGTGAGAACATTACCGTTGACATGACAAAAACTGGATGGGTCGTTGACTTCTTGCGCGAATACACCTCACAAGCAGCAATATATTGATAAACGACTGTCCCATGCCTTTCTATCGTAGGTGCTATTTGTAGTCCCCTCAGACACTTTATAGCATTAAAATCTGGCCGTTTCTACCCTGTAGTCCAAATTTGATGTTTCTTGACGCTTTGTTCCCAACCGTTGCACGTGAGCAGTATCAAGGACATCTGCAATCACCACTGCTAGTACTGAAAATCACTTGGGACCATGATAGTCTTGCAGAATACTGATCGATGAGAACAATACCATCTATTTTTGGGTTTTTTCGAGCTCGTCTCCATGTCATCACGAGGCCTGGTGGAAGCTCTGTATGTGCTTCCCGGTATCATAGAGAAAAGGATCCTTTGTATTGTTTCACTGGCAAATATCGGTCTGGTATGAACTGTCCTAAGGTCTTTGATCACACCAACCATCCAACCACCATCCTTCTTTGCCTTCGTCTCAATATGCCAGCGAGTTTGAGTCAGAGAACTGGATCTGTCAGTATATGTCTACCAGTACGGAGGTAAAACTGACAATGTCGGACTTGGCAAGTCACGGCGACTTATGAGGCAGTCTTGTCTTCGGGTTTGTTACCACATCGAGCAACACCGGAATATGACCCTTTAGCCTTTTGAAGACGTCGTTCGGCCGCAGCTAATTCGCGCTGCGCATCGGCAGCAAGCTTCTTCAGGTGTGCAAGCTCATTCACCCGGCGGACTTTTTCGTCGTGGATCTCGGCATGGTTCGCATTAGGTCGCGTGGTAATGAGGTCAGGTGAGCGCTCATGAGAATCGTTGGTATCTACTTTGGGGGACATTCTGATCGGTGGTGTGTTTGTAGATAGAAGATTTGTGATTGCGTGTGTTTGGTGGGGTTTGCTCCAGAGAGAAAGAGGGAGCGTATTGTTGAGGTTTGCTTGATCGCTTTGCGACGAGAAGTTCTGTTATTCTCTAGCTCCACTTTAAATTGTCTGCATTTGTGCCACTTCTGGCACTGCTCAGAAACTGTTGCAAGATATCAGTCGCAGTTGACGTCACAGTTCGATAACGTGAACTCGACCCGCGAGCTGGCGCGTGACCTGCAGAATCACAATCACTGGAGACTTCATGGAATCTCTCCTCAGACATCATCCTACTTTCGGAGCACCAGAAACGTAAGTGTCTCGTTCCACTACAGTGATCAAGCTAAAAAGAATCCAGGCAAAATGGAGTCTACCGATATCCGGAGAATCTTCGAGCTTGAGCGCGATGCTCAAGCTGCCGCCACTCGCCTAGCGAACTTCCCCCCCAAGGGGCTTAAGATGAAGAAATCCTCGGGCATTGATTGCTTGGTGGTCATCATCCGGCACATCTACTGCAACGGGATGATGAGCCCGAACCTGGACCAAGAGCTTGAATGGTTCAAGGATTCTGAGGCAAAGAACCCCATACTGGGTCACGCCTGGCATGTTTTCGGCAACGAAAAAGCCGAGATTGAAAGGTCCACGAAAGACAGAGACAATGTCAACGTAGACCTTGGGAGAATGGGCTTTCGTGACCCCCCAAGCTTCATGGAGATTTGCGACTCAAACTTGATGAACGAAACGTTTTGGTCGCAAGACATCTTCCGACTCAGCCACCCTCCCGTTGATCCTACAACGGGAGATGACATACCGTTGTCGGCGAACGAGATTGCAGAGCTAAGCAAGCTCGTGTTCATACCGGAGGCCCCTGGTTCATGCATTCAAGACGTCGTAAACCAGGCCTTTGGCCACAAGAAATGGAAAGGACGTGAGATGTTCGTCGTTCCACACAAACCTTGGGCCGTGCGTGTTCTCTACCGAGTAGACAAGAACCTGTGTGATGTTGTGTCTATAAAACAGCTCAAGACTTTGACCCTCCCAGTCTGGAACCAGAGGGAGGACGTAGAGTACGTATGCTTTGAAGAGACCAGCCGGGTGGACTACTTTCTCATGGGTATTGTTCTCCTTAGGGAACAGCGCGGTCACCCAGATCTCGTTCGAACCTATTCGCCTTTTGGACAAAACGTTCCCGGCGCGTACGAAACACCATCGTACGTGAAGGATGGATGGTCTGTGGCCGAGTCGGGCACCTACATGTTGTTCTACGGCATTCAGAACGAGGACATCGGGAATACAGATGTCACCGACTTTGCCGAAGTTGCCGGCACGATACAGGATGGCGGACGACTGGATATGCTTACACATACTTTGGAAAAGACCAAGATGATTGTAAAGGCGAGAGAAGAAAAAGTCTCTGCTGCGAGCAATCCTCCACCTCCACCACCGTCTGAGCCGCAGCCTCCAAGGCCTTCTGAACCAGAAGGCCAGTCTTTGGAGCCAGACACCGAGATTCCCACGGGGCCCAGAAACCCGGGCAGGAATGAGACACGGCCTTTTGGTAATAACGGGCAACGTCGACACCCTCAAAAGCAGAACCGAGGTGTCAATCGGGGCAAAGGTACCGGCAAGAACCGTTTCAATAGACGCCGAGACGATGATGCTCGTGAACAACGTCGGGCGTAATCATTTTAAGTTCTTAACCAGCTAGTTCAAGTAATATATCCTCCTTTTTCCAGAACCTCTCTATCTCTTGACTATAACTTTGGATACTTTTCGTAATGGCTTATCATTTTGCTAGGAGTGTATTATTTATTGTCTTCTAGCTTCGGTATTCGTCAACCCTCGTTGCCTCCACTCCATGTGTACCTTCCATATCTGCTACCTTCCTTGTGTACAATCCAAGCGCACCTCCCATGTCAACTAAAACTTCCAAGTCTGAAAAATTTTATTCCAAGTCAACTGCATTTCCAACAGCCACATTTTGTTTTAGTTGTATCGAAACTGATCCGAAATGCAGTCAAACCTAGGTCAAGTCCGCTCAGCGGGCCAGTCATCAGCCAATCGCCTGCCAGCCCTTACGCCAAAGGATCAAAGGAACATTGACGGTGTCCAATCGATGTTGGATGAGGTCAAGGGACTTATGGTATCCTTGAGATGCGATGCTATTCCAAGTAGCCAGCAAACTGGAGACGAGGCTACGCACTCCGGGTTTGACCCCGAAGACCGGTTCAGGATTGGCGACCTGGTCAAGGAGTGTCAAGCTGTGATGGACTTGTCCAAAGATCTCGACAAGGATACCGAGTTGGCCACTTTGGCTTATAAGACGCTTGAAACCAACAGTCTTGCGGATGTCCAATCCGGCGATGACCAACAAGCTCGGCATACCCTGGCCATGCAAGTCATTCGTCTTCTCGCAGACAGTCCGGACAGGTTCCTAGCGGTTTTGCACAGCCTAGGGATACGAACAGGTCCAGAGTTCGATGCCAATATGCGGCTAGCCCTAGGCCACCTATCACCGTCGCAGGCAGACGTGGTGATGAAGGAGACATCCAGAGACGAATTGGCTTCTCTGGAGAAGAGCCATGAAGAGGTGAGCATGAGGCTAAAACAAGCCGAAGCTCAAGTTGAAACCCTCACGCAGAGGTTGAGTTCTACAGAGGCTGAGCGAGCCAGGTTGGAAGGAGATCGCTCAGACCAGGCTCAAAAAGCCGAAGAGCAAACTCGCTATGCTCAACGGGCTAGGTCTGACTTGAGTAGGCAGTTTGATAGGGTTGCAAAGTTAGAGTCTGCTCTTGAACTCGAAAAGCTGGACAAGTCTAGAATCCAGACCGAACTGGATGAGAAGAATTCGAACATCGCCGAACTGCAAGGTTCGGTCAATGTTCTCAAACAAGACAATTTCGAGGCTCATGCCACAAACGAACGTTTGAAGAGACGGTCCAAGGAGCAATCCGATGAACAAGCTGCTACGGTCCTCTCCCTGCAACGCAAAACGGAAGAAGCTGAGAATAACCGCGTCAAAGCGGTCAATCTTGAGAGCGAAACTGCGTCGCTGCAAGATAATTTGCGGCAATGCAACGCTAAACTACGGGAGACAGAAAAGGAGCTTGCAGAAGCCCAAATTGATCTTTCAGAGTCTCGTGGTCGTCTCACTTCTGCCAACCAGACAAGTGGCGAATCGAAAGAGCGGTGTCGCTCCCTTGGAGGTTTCGTCGATGAGCTGAAGAAGGATCTCAGGGAATTGGGACAGCAGCTTCAAGACGAACAGGAGAAGAATTCGGCCAACCGTCGAAGTATCCAGGAGAAGGATACCAAGATTGAGACCCTGGAACGGGGCAATTTAAAGCTCAACAACTTCATCATAGCCGTTAAAGGTAACGCCCTCGAAAAAATGAAGGAGCTCCAAGTAGCAAATAGTTCGCAAGTCGAACATGCAGCCTTGCTACTGAGGCGACTCTCCATTGATCAGGATTCCGAAGAGTGGAATACAGTAGGAAAGAAGGTCCTCACTGACTCATTGACTCTGGCCAATCCAGTCCAATGGAGGCCGTGGGATATCGTCGGGTCCTCTTCTGCTGACGAGTCATTGAGTATTCGACAGCACGACCGCAATGCCAATCTGATAGCTCTTGATATAATGGCAATCTTGGATGTCAAGGAAGCCGACTCTAGACATCTCTTGAGCTATCTACAGGCATTGCAAGAGGCACTACCAGGACCTTCAATGATCGAGAGTATCAGGCAACTGATACCTGACTGGTTCCTTCGTGCTGTTGGTGATCCGCGTCTGCACATCATGCACATGGTTGCTATGTGTCAGATAGTAAGTGCCCTTGTCCCAGAGAGGCACGAGAGCTTTGAGGCAGCTATCAATGCCGCAGACAGGCGAGTGTCCCAGCTGGCAGAGGCTCTTCAAGCCTATGATGATGATCCCACAGCTGGGATCTCACTACTAGAGTCAGTGCGTTTCCCTGAACTGATTCTAGCAGGGCTCCATCGCCAACCAGATGGAGTAATTGCAATCAGCTGTCAATCCCGCCAGATATGGTGGGTTGATAGCAGTACTATCTCTAAGCTGTATGGTAGAATTACAGTTCCTTTACAAGGAAGAGAGATTCAACTACTACTAGATACAGTTCAAAGGCAAAACTGGGTCATAAGGCACACATAGTTAAAGGGGAAAAAATAGTTTGTATAAATAAAATGAGTTTCTATGAAAGAGTTTTAAATTAAAGAAAAGAAATACCGCCTACTAATACCTCTTTGCAATTGCTGTCTTTTGAAGAAGAGCGCAATCAGAAAAGAGACTTGTTTAGGATTTAATACCAGCCACCTACAGATGATACACTTTGCGCAAAGTTACAACAGTCACCGGGTAAATGGGCATGCGAGGTAAAGTGTTCATAGAGTCCTATTGCGGATATATTATTAGTCGTCCTATTGATCAACATGTGTCCTTGTCTGGTGTCCGATCCTCAGTCCAATCCGACAACCCGTCACTCCGACCACTCTGTCGCTTTTATCGTAGTACACCTCAAAGTGTATTCGAGATATCATAGGTCTCGGAGTGGCGACCCTCAAGCGGGTGGATCTCCTTGCCGTTCCAAGGCCATTTGAGATCACGCCGTCCAGAGTTCAAGGGGCGGATGTATTTACCCCAGGCGATAGCGTCGGTAGCGCAATCAAAGAAGGATTCACTGACCCAGCGGTGATTACGAGAATGGAGTTCAGCAGCAACTTCTTGCTGCGCATCGAAATACAAACGATCCCACTGGTCTGGATCCCACTGGTAGCTACGGGACAACGTATCCCGGATAAACCGTTGACGATTTTCCAGATCGTGAGGATTGAAGATGGGAGTTTGGGACTGCCCGCTGGTGCTCGTTTATAAAGATTCGTTTATCTTTCGTAAATCCTAGATACAGTTAGTTGCGCAATAAGCAATAGGGTGAAGAGTCTTACTAACTCCTGCGTTATAAGGTTTTAGTAAAAGATTAAAGATGCAAGGAGGAGAAGAAATTTAGACTATCTAAGCAAAACTGTAACTAAAAAACTATAGGTAAAAAGACTATAGGTAAAAAACTATAGGTAAAAAGACTATAGGTAAAAAGACTATAGGTAAAAAACTATAATTAAAAGACTATGTAAAAAACTAAGTAAAAAAACTATAATTAAAAAACTAGGTAAAAAACTATAGGTAAAAAGACTATAGGTAAAAAACTATAACTAAAAAACTCTAGGTAAAAGACTTTAAGTAAAGGACTTTAGGTAAAGATAAAAAGTTTTATTACTAAGTAGCTTTCAAGAGAGTATACTATAGAGATTAAAATTATTAGGATAAGTTTCTAGCTAGTACTTGAATCTCGCTTATAAGATTCCAGAACTGTAAGACTTTCTTCTTATCCTCTAGCTCTTTCCTTAACTTCTGAAGAAGTTGCTCTAGCCTTGCAGTTGTAGTATTCCAGCGAAATTCAACAGGAAGATTTCTTAGCTGTACCTGACATTCTTCCATTGTTGCTTGGATCTGTGGAATAGTCCCGCGAATCTTAGCAAGCTCGTCTATAAATTCCTTCCGATTGCGGAGGTCCTCAAGACTCATTCCAAGATTCTGCTTGAAGATTGTCCTAGTAGACATGACATGCAAAAGATTCTTCTGGCAATCCCAATCTGAATTGGGTCCAATTCTAACCCCAGTTCCTCCCGCCTCGGTGGAATTGAAGCCGCGCTGGTAGACAAGTGAACTCGCTAGACACGTAACGAGCTGTTCAGCAACAGGTAGCTGTGATGGTTTCCAGGTACGTATCACGTTGCGGACGTGAAGCTTAACAGGAAGCTTCAGGGACCGCATAATGGCTACAGTGAGCCCCAGAGGCTTGTTGATATCCTTGAGACAATTCGTCCCATAGGTCCCCATGCGCTTTTCAAGGTTCTGAGAGCAGCCTACATAGAGAGGCGATTGTTCAATCCTGACTAACTTGGTAGGATCCAAAGTGGGATCGCACATAGACCTCAATGTTTCGAGTAGGGCCTCAATTCTTGGAACCCTTTCTTCCTTGTCAATGAAAACTGGGGTTCGTGATTCCTTACCCCCCGCCTTCTCATCGACGCGTCTGAGGTGTCTCAAAGCATCGTTTTCCGCATCGGAAAGCCCAGCGCCTGCAGCAAGGTTCTGGAACTTGACATAGGCGTGATATCCAGCTATGTACTTCTCAATTCCCCGGATCAAGAGTTCCATTTCTCTGATATTGAGGAATTTACCGTCTTCGCCGTAGCGGCTCAGACCGATAACATAGACGCCAGGAACATTAGCGCTGCTATGCTTATTCGGTGTATCGTAGCTGTTGAACTTTCCCGTCTGGTCATCATGGGCGACTGTGCCCGCCACAATGGACCTGATGACCCTGGGAGACATGCTGTGCATCAGCTCAAACATAGTCCAGCTCCTGTACTTGATGGCCTCGATGGTGGACTCAACACTGAAGCTGTGCTCCTGGAGCACTTCATCGTTCTCCAGGTCACTCGCCAACTTGGGGAGCTGCAAGTAAAGCTCATAGAGCGATTTGCCCCTGGCACAGATGTCGATCAACCTCATCTGCTCATCACCACCAGCCATTGGCATCTGGGCAGTGCGGGTAGCCCGAGGAGGCAGCGGGCGCGCCGGTAAATGTAAAGCCGGATTGTTCTGAACGCTCATTTTGTTGAATATGTGTTGGATGTTGGAGGTTGCAGGATTTCAATGGGAGCTGAGTGGTTGAGGAAGGTACATATTCAAGGGGTGAACGACATAGGGACATTTAGCATTTTACCCGATATGGAAGGGAGCAGCCAGGCAAAGCTGCCACTTTACTGTACACCAATCATTTAGTCACATTCTACTTTTATCTCACCACTTGTACTATCATCTCACTAGTGTCGCAGACGTCTCATCTCATTTCATCACAGTTTAAGTTTTGGGTTTTAGTGAAATTTGGGTTCCGAGAAAAATCGAATTGATGCCTCCAACAATCTATCTCCCTTTCGGTCTCGTCGTCAGAGTTTCCTTCAACAGTCAAAACAGCCGTCCAACCAAAAGTCCCATATTGCTTCATTATCTCGACGGCATTCGGACTCGGAATCGATCGTCAACTCGTTGATGCGTGTCAATTTGACCTCATTCGCGCACGGATGGGGGTGCGTAAAGTCAGGAACGGTTCGGCGGTATGGGCGAACTGGACTGCATCTGTTAGTATCTGTATATGGAGAACGAACTATTACTTACAATATACTCTGGCATGCTAAGATGATGGCGGCTCATTGGCCATATATGGCCGAATGGTTGAGAAGGTAAACGATGTTACCGTGCGACGCTGCCCTTTGTGAAGGGTAGCGTTCGAGAGCCTAGTGCCAGTGATGTTCACCTGCCTGTGTCAAACGCAGGCTGGTGAGTGATTGCCCTCTCGTGGAAGGCAATGATGCCATTTAACAATGTCCCTTTCAAGGGGTCATTGTTGGGAGACCATGGTAAGTGGTCGGGTAAGTCAACATGAGTGACTTACTTGATCATGTCATGATCATTGTCGGCATCATCCTCGGGCTGCTCCTGGTCCATCTCCGCATCCTTAGCCCGACGGTCAACTGCCTGGGCAAGCATCTCGTCCAAGGCGATGTCCATCCCTGTCCTCGCGGTGTTGGCAGGGAATTGACCATCCGAGGCTTGCGGCAGATCACTGGGTCGGTCTGGGTAGATATGACCGGCCACGATAGACGCAGCAATCTCCTCGGGGGACCCGTGAGCAGGATCCTTGGGCAAGTCATCGGGATTCTTATCCTTGTCCCATCGGCTTTGAAGTTCTAGGAAGTCGTTTCTTTTTCCGACTTCCTTCGCGAACTCCATGGTCCAAGGAAGGGCCTTGGGAAAGACAGCATCTTTGCCAGTCTTCTTCAGGTACTCCCTGAGGTACCAATCCCAACGTGGCTGGTCCTTGGAGGTTTCCAGCATTGGCATGTTACCTCGCTCGTAAACAAGGAGGTCAGCCTGGTCCTTGATGGACATGTCCTTGAACTGGTTGCAACTGTCAACCGGATGGCCTTTAGAGTTGCACAATGTGCAACCGTAGACATAGCCCTTTGGGGCGAAAAGGCAGTCCCTCAGAGCATGGTCGTCATTGCACTCGATGCATGAAGACCCAGGTTTGGTGGACAAGAGCTCCACCCCTCGTGCGAGGGCCTTGACCTCGCTGCGCCCGGTCGACTTGATCACCTTGGTGTTAGTCGCCTTGCGCTTCGCGAAGGAGAGCTGTCCTTTCTTCCAAGGCTGGACCTCAATGGTCATGGAATCTGCCCCCGAGCTTTCCTTCACCCGCTTCACGACTTCAAAGGCATCTTCCGCGCTGTTTATTTGCGCAATGGCTCCTCCAGTTGCGGTCGGAACCATGAAGCGGTCTTGGTGACCACCGCCGAAAGTGGTGTTGACCGCATGGCGGAGATTTACACCAGATCCGATGGCGTATTCACGGATCTCCCCCTCGGGGACCATCGCCAGCGGAGTGCTTGTAAGGGATTTGGGGTTCCCTTTCTTCACGCCCGGCCACGATCCCTTTCCGCTCTTGCCAACAGTGTTGACAGAGGAGCTTCGGGAGTTCTGGCCACCCTTCCCAAAACGGGAAGCAGAGAGGCCACGGTCACGGCGACCAGGCAAATCACCTCTTCCTGACGCGTTTGAAGGCGCCGGAGAGTTGTTGCCACGACGGGCACCAGAGTTGCCAGAACCCCGTGTTTCCGCGAGTTCCTGCGCGGCAACAGCACGCTGCGCTTCAGCAGCAACACGCTGCGCATCAGCAGCAGCTTTCTTCAGCAGCTGCATGTGCGAATCGTCTTCCGGGAACTCATCTTCCCAAACGGTTCCCTTGCGGTTGCGAGAGCGCCCGCGCGAACCATTCCTGTCTCCTTTGGGAGCCATTTCGAAGGACTGTTTTTTTTTTTTTTTTTT